GGCAGTACAGATTTGGGAGCAATTAACATATAAGACAGTAATTTATTCTTTGAGATGTGAACCAGATCTGATAAGAGTTTAGGACTCCTCATCCAGGAAGAAGAAATGCACACGTTCTATTTGCAAAATTTTGTGTACAGTTTTAGGAGGCTCCGGAATGCCTTGCTAATCTGGTGTCTTGTAAATTTTAGAACTTAAGATGTATGGGTAGTAATTGTAACCATGATAATGGATGGAAATACATAGTGACCCAGTGTAGGGTGAAAAGAGCTAAGGACAGCTCTGGGGATTAAAATGTTTTAAATGGCACTGGAAGAATAGGAGTTAGGAATTGTAGGGAATAGTGTTTCCAAAAGAAGGCTACATTATACTGACTTGTATTTAGCAGACTTGTACTTGTAAGGTACTTTTGTTTTAGCTCATATCTGTTTTTTTATTAAGCTTAAAAAGTTATTTTTTTCTTTCTGATGGTTGATGCCCATAGATGACAGTTCAGATATTCTATCATTGGACACTTTCTTTAGTCGACGTGTGAGGGATTGTGCTGTGCCCTGGGCTGGGTTAAATTCTACTGACACTCTTATTTAATCTTCAGGATAGTGCCCTGAGATAGATAACTGTTGTTAAATCTACTTTACAAGTGAGGAAATAAAGATTTTGAAGAGTCGAGTAATTTGCCCAAGGTCACTTGGCCTGTTAATTTAGCAAAGCCATGACACCAACCAAGGGCTTTTGTTCTCTACTAATATACCACTCTATGTTTACCAAGATAATCAGTGACTCACACTGTGATATTACTATACCATATTAGCACAGTGGAATGGAATGTGAGTCCAGCGGTTTGGACTAGATTTGGGGATATATAAATTCTAATCTCTGCTCTTAGATTTGGGGTAAATCATGTAATGTCTCTGGGTCTATTTTTTCATTTACTTGAAAATTTTTATACTTAAACATTGTTGTACTGTGGCTCCATCTCTACTCTGTAAAGCATGAATACTGAGAAGAGTAGTACGTAGAATCTTGGATTATAAGACAACTCTTGATTTATATATGTGAGAAATGATTTATTATAATGTAAGGGTATTTCTACAATATTTGAAGTCTTTTGGTTTATGTTTTTTAAATTCTTCAGTTTCTAATAGAAAATTTAGTAATTCATGACAGGTTAGGGACCTTTTTGTACATTTTCTAGCTTTCATGGGATCTTATTTTATAGAGCCTGAAAAGATCATTTGAAGTTTTGCTCAACTATTCACAGTATAGTTACCCCTGGGGTTTATAGTCCACATTAACTTTGGTCTTTCTCTGGAATTGTTCTGAATGTTCTGCTTTATATGTTCAGTATTTAATGTTGAGAGATGGTGTCTTAGTCTGCTTTTTTATAATCTCTGTATATGGAATACTTGAGGCCATCATTGTCATGTGGACTTGTATCTTTTATTTGTGAAAACTTATGAACAGCTACATCTTATTTAAAGTATTTTATATGGATGGTATCCTGTGTATCAGGATATCTAATAAAAATCGCAGTTTCGACCTAGGGATAAATTCTCTTAAGGCCGTTTCAGAGAAGTCTCTACTAGACCTGGGATTTGAATAAGATTTAAGTAATAAAAAAGAAGTTGTTCTTTTACAGAATTCCTTTTAAGCACTCCAGAAAAGATGAGAAAATAAGGCTCTGTTTGAGTCATCTGCTTAAGAATCCTCTATGAGGGTTGAACTGATATTTTACTGCTAGGGTAACTGAAAGAACTATTTTGCCTATCTATATTCCTTACTCTTTCACATTCATACCCATTGGACATAGCTTGGAAGGAGTGTGGTTTTTTTTCGTTAACCACTTTATTGAGGTTTGATTGACAATGCAAAATCTGTACATATTTAACATATGCAACTTGATGAGTTTGGAGGTAAGTATTCACTTGTGAAGCCATCACCATAATATATGCAGTAAACATATTCATCACCTTCAAAAGTTTCTTCCTACTCTCTTTGGAGAGGATTCCACTCAGTAATTTCTGTCCATTCCAGGTCACAAGTAGGTGTGAAGCTGATGAATAATTGTTGCCATGTTTCCCAGGTTGTGAGTGCAGAACATGTGAGTTTTATGTGGCGTAATAACAGCTTCCTAGTTATAGATTAGCAGGAAATCATTCCATCAGCAAGTATGAATGTCTGTTATATGCCATATATTACTTCAGTGGCTGAGGGATTCCTCAGTGAAAGAAATTCCTGCCTTCATGGAGCTGACATTTGGATGGGAGGAGGGAGGCCAAGAAATGAAATAAGGAAAAAAAAATAAGGACTGTGGGGTTGGAATTTGGGGGTGACTAGTAGGAGGAGACTGCTATTTTAAAGGGAGTGTGAAGTTAAAGCTGAGGTTGATAAAGTGAAGGAGCCATGCAGATACCTGAGGGAAGAATATTTGAGTGACACAGAGAGTAGCAAATACAAACACCTTGAAACAAACCTGTTTGACATATTCCAAAGAATAGCAAAGAGAGTCTGGTGTGGCTAGAGCAGTGAGCAAGGAGGAAGAATAGATGAAGTCAGATTATCAGATTGAATAACATTTTGTAGTTTGTATAGGGACTTTGACTTTAACTCCAAGAGAAATTAAAAGTCACATGAGGGTTGTAAGCAGAAGAATAACATGATTTATGTTTTTAGAAGGTCACTGGTTGTTCTATGATAGTGGGCCAGGAGCAGAAACAGACCAGTTAGGGGGCTGTTCAAATACTCTGATTGATGATGGTGGTTTGGACAAGGCTAGTAGTAGTGGAAGAGGTGAGTAGGAGTTAGATTCTGGGTACATTTTGGAGGTAGAGACAACAGAATTTCCTGTTGGATTAGAATCAAGGTGAGGGAATAAAGGGGATTACAAGCTTTTTTGGCCTTAGCAACTGGAAGGATGGAGTGGATGTTTGCTCATTTGGAGAAGACTGCTGGGCAGACTTAAGGGCAAAGATTAGGATTTCTGTTTCAGTCTTGGTAAGTTTGAGATGCCTAGTAGGTATTCAAGTGAAAACATGGCTGAGTATAGGACTCTGGTATCAAGGGGAGAGGGCCAAACAGAGTAAATAAATACTGAGGTTAACTTAAGCCATGAGCATAGATGAAATCAGCTTCACCTGAAAACTGAGTTGTGGCTAGACAAAGAAGTTCAGGTTTGGAGGTTGCTGTGAGGAGAAAGAACTTGTAAGCAGACTGACAAATAGGAACTAGAGGAATGGGAAGAAAAACAAGAGATTGTAGTGCTTGGAAGGCAACTGTGGAATCTGTTTCAAGGAGTAGGGGTGATAAGCTCTTTCAGTTGCTGCCAGATAGGTCAAGAATGATGAGAACTAAGACTGACCATTTAGATTTAGCAAGATGGAAGTCACCGGTGACCTGAATAGTTTCAGTGAAACAGTAGAGATGAAAGCCTTACTGTCTCAAGGCCTGTGATTTTACTGTAAATGGAAAAGACAGAGATTGGATGGTACTGGAGAAATGGTGGGTTTGTGAGGATTTGTTTTTAGGATGGGAAACTGATGATTTTGAATGTGGTTGGAAATTGTCTAGCAGAGAGAAAAGAATGTGATGATGCTGAGAAGGGAGATTGATAAAGGGAGGTCCTTGAAAAGGTGAGTTGGGATGGATCTAAACTTCATTCTGTATAGGTATCACCTGGGGTCACAATGCAGATCATAGTTCTATAGGTACAGGTGGAGCCTGAAATTCTGCATTTCTAGTAAGTCCTTGATGATGCCTATGTTTCTGGTCCCGGTCTGTAATTTGAGTATAAGAACTTGGACTTGGTACTTTGAGCACAAGAACATTAGAATAATATATTGATACATAATCATATAGATTGGTGGATATGCTTGGAGTTTGTACAGTGTGTCTTCAGGTTGTTTCTGTTTTCTCAGTGGAACAGGAAAAAAGTCATTATCCTAGAGTGAGGAAGGAGGAGATGATGTAAAATCACCTAGGAATGTAGAGTCCGTAGTCTAGAATGTAGGATTATGGGGTTGTACCCAGGGCCCACTGTGGTTAGTGGTTATGAATTTAAACTGAGACATATTGAATATGGGTGTATGTGTGTGATTCATTTACTTTGAGCTACACACGTGGGTGCATGTGAAGTGTAGGTGGGTAGATGGGGTTTAGAATGGCAAGTATTTTGGTGGGGAGAGGGGCAGGTGATTCATGGGTGTATACAAGGTAGCTACAAATGATGGACTATGGAATCTAAACTGGGAAAGGAAGAAAATAAGAATGGGTTAAACAGAAAATGTGAGGTTTTTTGGTTTGTTTTGTTTTTAATTGCAGGTCTTCTTCCAATCTTTAATTTGCTAAGGAGCTCTGTAAATCTTTAGGAGAGAAAAATAGTGTTCGTGTCCTCATTTTTTCTTTTCTTCTTCTTTTTTTTTTTTTAAAGAAAGAGCATGGGTAGGACGGGGAGAGGGACAGAGGGAGAGCGAGAGAGAAACCTAAGCAGACTCCGTGCTGACTGTGGAGCCGTCATGACATGGGGCTCGATATCACTACCCTGAGATCACGACCTGAGTTGAAACCAAGAGTCAGAGGCTTAACCGACTGTGACACCCAGGCACCCCCTAAATTATTTTTTAAATCATGGAAGTCTGTCTTCAGGGTTTCTCTCTGAGCTTGTATTCTTCTAAATAAATTAAGGAAAAGGGTGCCTTACACTTTTGGCTAAAGCAAGTATTAACATCGGGGATTATGATTTCATTTAAATTGGAGGGTTTTAATGCATATAAGAAAGGAGGGAGGTCTTAAGGGATTTTTAAAAAATTGCTCTGTAAGCTCTAAAAACGATTCTTAGATGTATCCCTTTATTTTTGTTAAAACAGACTGTTAACATCCTTATAAGTCATGCAGATTTATAATCATAGCCATATAATAAGATAATTACTATATGGACAAATACAGAAAGATTTTCAACCATTGGTGTTTTTTTTTTGTCTCTTTTTCTCTCTTGGATATTACAGATGACCATGGATGAAAAATATGTAAACAGCATTTGGGACCTTCTGAAAAATGCAATTCAAGAAATCCAGCGTAAGAATAACAGTGGTCTTAGTTTTGAGGAGCTCTATAGAAATGCTTATACAATGGTTTTGCATAAACATGGAGAAAAGCTCTACACTGGACTAAGAGAAGTTGTTACCGAACATCTCATAAATAAGGTATCCAACTTTAAAGGACTATTGCTAATTATATGGAATCTAGAAAATCCTTTATATACTATCTTGTACTTTGACTAGAAATATTAGTTTTAAAGGCTCCAGGAAGCCTATAGAAATAGTAATTAATGGCTATATTATAAAATCTCACTCAAAACTTATAATCAGCTAAGTAACAATTTTTGATAATTGAGGGAAGATGAAGTTTGTGATTTATAATATAAATACATTCTCTGTAATCATAATTAAGTAAACAAACTTTCATTAGTTTACAAATGCTTGTTTATTAATGTATGAATTACAGATGATTACTTTTTCCTTAAAATGCTTAACCAGTCAGTCCATTTTATCTTTCTCTACTTTCTCTGTATATTTGAAAATAATAAAACTACATTGTTTAAAAAAATACTGTCTAGGAATTTACACCAGTTGAAATTGACATTATTTTAACTGAGTTTTATAGTAAGTGTGAAGTTTTTTTAAAAAAAGATAAATTAGTGTTGGGCTATTAAAATTATAAAATATTTCTTTGGTTCTAAAAATATGTTTTTGCTTTTTTAAAATAAATGTTTATATAGAGCAAACTCTTCTATTGCAAGTATTTCTTGCTTTAAGATTGTCAGATAAAATGTAAAATACCACAGATAAATAAAAACTTCTCAAAGTTTTTGTGTGGTATTAGGGTGTTCGTTTCTTTTAAATTTTATTTTGAAAAAAATGGAAAAGTTATACCAAATAGTACAATGATCTCTTGTATTGTAGATTCACCAGTTGTTAACATTTTGCCACATTTTTGCTAATCTTTCTATTGATCCTTGTTATTATTACTATTACTGATATTACTATTATTGCTGAAGAATTAGAGAACAAGTTTTAAATCCATTTACCCTCAAATACTTTGGGATGTTTCTCTTAAGAACAAGGAAATTGTCTCAACCAAAGACTGATGTTCAAAATCAGGCAGTTTAACATTAATATAATACTGTTACCTAATATAGTCCACATTCAAATTCATCAGTTGTCCTGTGTAGCAGTGATGTCCTTTATAGCAGTTTGTTTTCTGATCCAGGAGCCAATCCAGGATCACACACTCAGTTCCTCAGCTTCTTGTCTTTCAGCACATTGACATTTTTGAAGAGTATAGGTCAGTTGTTTTGTAGATTGTCCCTCGGTTTTTGGTTTGTCTGATTGTTTCCTCATGACTAGTTTCAGGTTATGCATTTTTGGCAGGAATAATACATAAGTGATGTTGTGTCCTCAGTGCATCACATCAGGAGGCACATGATGTCAGTTTATCCCATTATTGGTGATGTTAACTTTGATCACTTGGTGTCCGCCAGATTTCTCCACTGTGAAGGTACCTTTTTTCCCTTTGTAATTCATAAGTAATTTGTTCAGATATATTTTGAGACTGTATAAATATCCTGTTCCCCAAGAAACTTTCATGTGATGGTTCTAGCATCCATTGATGATTCTTGCATGAATCATTATTACTGTGGTGGTTACAAAATAGTTACTTTCTATTTCTACTATTCCTTCCATAATTTCTTTCTCTTACATGGGATTACAGGAGCAGGTAGCTAGTATCTCATGAAGCAAGGTGATTGTGTTCTTCATGCAACCAACAGTTTCTTTAGTGCCTACTCTGCACAGCTTTCTAGGAAAATACAGTGGGTATACAGAGATATGATATCCCTTGTTTGTACTGTGATGTGAGAGATGATGCAGACCTTTAGCTCATAGTGTAAGGCATTATATAATTAAGTGGCAAATGAATTGAATAGGCAATAAAAGGCTTAGGAATTCCAACGAGGGAGAGATTATCCTGGGCTGTAAGATTAAATGGGAAAGTATCAGATTGAACTGAGCCATGACACATTTGGGATATAAGGGAACAATGTGGAAGGCATTCCAAGATGGCAGATCACTTAGGTGGTAAATAGAGTTTGATTGAGGTATATAATAATTTATGGGGATTAGTGGATTCTAATATAAAGGTGATTTGGGAACAGACTGGAGAAAAACTTGAATGCCAAGCTAAGGAATTTGGGCTTAATTAACAGTAGAAGTTTATTGGAGGTTTTTAAGTGGATGATAATGTGACAGAATATTTTAAGAAGATTAGGATAAAAATGATATAAATGTAGAATTGGGAGGGTGTTTGCTAGGAGCTGGGGAGGACCTGGAAAAATTTGAGTAAAGTGATAGGCTAGACATGAATGGATAGAGGAGATGACAGATACTGTTTTAGATAATATTGGAGATTTTTACAGTTGGAAGGTACCTTCAAAATCATTTTATATGTGAGGGAAATTGAGTTTGAGATCATCATAAAATGCTCACCTAGAAATACCCTGTGTATAGAGATACACAGGTTTAGGGCTTGAGCAGGAACTCAAACTGAAGATCAAGACTGGATGTTTGGTAGCATGTACACTGAGGAAGAAGTATTGGAGTTCAGAGAACAAAAATCCTAGAGCCAAAGGATGAATCTTCAAAAGCAAACTATGGTATGTAAGTGTGGGAAATGAAGAATACTAATTTAAGAAACTTGGCATCAAAAGAAGGAAGAAATGCGAGTGTAAGAGTTTTGCTTAAAACTATTGAAGGAGAGATGATTGGAGCAACTGAGTTCTTGGATATGGAGAGAGTACGGAATTGAGAACAGAGAAGTAAAGGTAGAATAAAGGCATGCTCTCATTTGCCAGAGGTTCTATAATGAATGATGGTAGTGGTCACAACTAACTCTTTTTTTTTTTTTTTTAAGATTTTATTTACTTATTTGACAGAGCGTGCAAGCAGGGGGAGAGGGAGAGAGAAGCAGGCTCTCCGAGGAGCAGGGAGCCAGATGCGGGACTCCATCCCAGGACCCTGGGCTCATGACCTGAGCCGAAGGCAGTCGCTTAATCAACTGAGCCACCCAGGCGCCACCCACAACTATTATTTAGCATTTCTGTGTGCTAGGTTCGGTTCCAGTGCTTTTATCTGTGTTAGTGGTCACAACCTAATGAGCCGGATATGACTATTCTCTTTTACAAGTGGAGAAACCAAGGCACAGAGAATTTAGTGATTTGTTTAGATGCACATAGGTAGTAAGTGGCCTAGTTGGAACAGTATTCGGGCAGTGTGGTTTCAGTCTGAGTCCTTGACTCCTCTGTAGATCTGCTCCTGAGGCATAAGGAATGGATCAAGATGCAATAAACACGATGAAATTGAGGGTGCAGGAGAGGCTTCCAGTAAATTGGCTCAGTGTTTTTAAAGCTGTAGTCCTTTAAATTCTAGTTCTTGGTTTATTTATAATTAAAATGAAGGAGCTAGCAGTAATATCTCCTGAGATTCTTTAGTTCTAAAACTATTACAAATTAATAATTAAGCCATGCATCTTCTGAAAATGAGATGAAGAGACTTGGAGTAGCCCTTCTTGGGAATAGGAATTGGCAAGTGAGGAAAAAGATAGCTCAGTAGGAGTTGGCCTGAATGTGTGATTTGCCTTTTTTGTTTGTTTTTAGAAGCTTTGCTTTGCAGCTTGGGCACAGATGCAGAAAAAACATCTGTAGTTATGTGCTGTGTTGAGAATTGGCTCATCCAAAAAGTGAGGAAAGGAGGGGAGACCAGATTGGGAAGTCAGTGTTTAAGTGATTTTTGGACTCTGAAACATGGTTAGGTAGAAATTGAAGTCATGTGAACAATAATTCTATGGTAACTATAAGAGCTTCAGCATATTTGTGAGTTGCTTAAAGTGGTCCCATATCTCAGGTTAACTCTTATTTCAAAATATAGGCAGTTCCCTATAATATGTTGCAGAGAACATGTATTCAAGTTAATTGTGCTAAAGAAATTATATACACTAAATTCTTTTTATTTCTGTTACGTAGGCATTAGTCACTCATCACCAGCATCTGAAAATGTTCTTTAATTTTTTCTTTCACAAATGCTCATTTGACCAGTCTAAACTAGTCAATTTCTGGCTAGGAAATGTACCAATACCAGTATATCTAATGATTGATTTCCTTATTTCAGTTGAATTAAGTTTTTTAAGCTTTGCTAGTATCTATGCTTTCATTTTTGTGTTTTCCATTTATCTTACTTCATTCTTACTCTTACGAAAACTTTTAATAACCATACAAATAGAGTACTACTGTATGAAGGGGACACAGCCCAAAGAAATTTGTTAACTGACAGGCAGAGCCATTATACAGTGGCCTAAATGTGCCCTGATGTAGGAAGTCTCAGTTTTTTCTACCAAATGTGCAGAAGTGTAGTTTGCATAATTATTGCCAGTTTGTACATTGCACTTTCTGACTAGGTGAGAGAATGGTTCAGGTTCAGGGTTCTGTGGTATGAAAGTAACACGTCTTCAGTCTCACAGTGTATTCCTTTTTGTGGTTCGGAAAGCCTTACTCTGTGGTCTAATCATCAAGGGTTTTTTGTTGTTGTTGTCTTCACTGTGCTTTTAGCACTGTCCTGAACTACGTAAGCAATAATACTTTTTTCAAAGCAAAGTTATTTTCTACTGAAGTGAACATTTTAGTGCTGTGGTATATAGGCAGCCAGGACCTAGTTTTTCACGTTGAGCGATTCAAATGAAATACAATTTTTATGCAGAGTCGTTGCTAGTACCCTGGTTGCAAGATGAGAATAGTAAACATCTGAGGAAGATCTTTTGTAAAGCAGAATGGCACAAACTATCAGGGCAGATGAATGGAGGAACTTCTCTGAGATGAAGGAAGCTGATTGTTGGCTTTAGAAGTGAGTTCACAAAATTGAAGCAGGTATAAAAAAGCTGAATGCTTTTCTCTTAACTTGGTAGTATATTCTTCCTACCTCTAGAAGAATGTTCCCTTTGAGGAACAAAGGACCCAAAGGAATTCAGTGAATTTCTCTAGACCCACAAAGCAAAACTTAGAGTGTGATATGGCCCTTGTGCCTCTCCATAAGAAAGAAAAATTAAAAAATCTCATTTTGGTAAATATGAAAACATTTCAGAATTTACAGGGATTATC